ACAAAGAAAAGTTCTTCTTTTTCTTTACAATAAAAAAGAGTAAAGATATTATCCATATCTTTTCTTTCCTAAGAAAAAGGAAAGTGGTAACTTTTCTTTTCCAAAAAAAAGAAAAGCAATATCTTTTCTTTTGCAAGAAAAAGACTTTTGTTAAAAGATACAAAGGGAAGTCGTTTTCTTGAAAAAAGAAAAAAATTTTGCTTTTCTTTTTTTATGGAAAAGAAGTGATGCCACTTTTCTTTTTTTTAGAAAAGAAAAGATATGGATTGGTGGAAAAGATATCATTTTACTGTTATTCTTGAAAGGAACGGGAGTGTGCCACCTCTACATCTCTGCCGTCCCTGCAGGAAACGCTTAGACAAGTCGATAGACAATAAGGTCTGCTATCTGGATTGATGGATAAAGTTCTGATTCCAGAACGCCGAAGGACGCAATACAAGAACAATGATTTTCTTATCTCTTCTTGGTATGAGGTTAGGGTTGGCACTTTCCCGTTCCTTTCCCGAGTAACGATAAAATGGTATCTTTTATTTAAAGAGTAAAGATATAATCCATATCTTTTCTTTCCTAAAAAAAATGAAAGTGGCTTTTCCAAGAGAAAGAAAAGCGACATCTTTTCGTTCTTTTGGAAAAGAAAAGATGACACTGTCCGTTTTCTTAGGAAAGAAAAGATATGCATTATATCTTTACTGTTTTTTTGTTGTATAGAAAAAGAAAAACCTTTGTTTTGTTAATAAAAAAAGGAGCTCGAAAAGAGAAAGTGCCACACCCAGATGAGCGTTTTTCTTGAAAAATGAAGTAATAAACTTTAAAAAGCAAATATGTTCTTTTCAGAGAGTATGTATGTTATTCTGTGAAACTATTGTTCCGTAGACCAGTGAAAGAACTTCTATATTCGCTTTTCCGTTCGCCAGCTAGTAGAACAACACCAATACCCTTTGTCTCTGTAAAAGTAAAAAAAATAAACGGAAAATAATTCTTTTTCCTTGTTCTTGAGTCAGAAATTAACGTTTTTTCTTTTTTTTTTATGCAAAGCAGCTATGCAGAAATGACGTCAATCAGTACATGGTGGATGAGTTTGAAAAAGTTTTATCGAAAGTTGAGAGGAAAGAAGCGATTTGTTACTGATGACGGCAATCCTTATTTTTACTTTTGTGAGAGGCAATGTATAACTTTCCAGATGTTTTTATCTGATATCCCTTTATGCGACATAGAATAGAAAGCCTCGATCAAAACTGAACATTTTGAAGGTTCTTATTTTTATCTGGCACATCCCCAGATAGTAGACCTTATTGTCTATCAGCTTGTCTAACGTTTCCTGCAGGGACGGCAGAGATGTAGAGATGGCACATTCCCGTTCCTTTCAAGCGTAACGGTAAAATGGTATCTTTTATTTCAAAAGTAAAGAGTAAAGATATAATCCTCATCTTTTCTTTTCTAAAAAAGGAAGTGGCATCACTTCTTTTCCACAAAAAAAGAAAAGCAATATTTTTTTCTTTTTTCAAGGAAACGACTTCCCTTTGCAACTTTTAATAAAAGTCTTTTTCTTGCAAAAGAAAAGATATTGCTTTTCTTTTTTTTGGAAAAGAAAAGTTACCACTTTCCTTTTTCTTAGGAAAGAAAAGATATGGATATCTTTACTCTTTTTTATTGTAAAGAAAAAGAAAAACTTTTCTATGTTAATAAAAAAGAAGAGATAGGAAAGACAACGTTCCACCCCTACAGAAATGGCAGAGAACTAATTCTTTCCTTAAGCAACTACATCCATCGGTATTAACGTTAGGACGGAAATATTTTGTATATTCTGTTTTCTGTGAGTGTTCGTAAGAGGTTCTAATAGGAGGCAATGTATTGAAATTCGGCATCCACAAGTAAAGGAGAGCCGAAAAAGTTGACAAGCGATGGAGAGGGAAGTGAGTGCAATGATCTCACACTTTTTAGCCTGGCGGTTATCGAGCGCTAGGGTGCTTCGTGTGTAAGGGAGCTCTTACCAACCCCGTTCTAATAATTTGTCTTTATTTATTTTCTCTCTGTCTATTTTTATTCAGTTTTAGGAAAAAATAGATGTTTAAACAAACTTAAAAATAACAAAAACTGATTTTTCTGCAATCAAGTTGGTTACAAATCAACTGGATTGCTTCCGCAGCAATAGTTCAGTGATATAATTCGATTGCAAGTTATTTTAATGTTAAAGTCGATTATTAAGATTGTACTGGATTCCAGACGAGATTGGCAGCTGAATTGCCAAGTATCTACAAGTATTTCAAAAACGGATTCATGATTATAGTGGCTTCGATTCCAAAAACATTTATAACGGTATTGTAACCGTTTCAAGGGAGTAAAAAACGCCAAAAAGTGTTTGACGTAATTTCTGGATAACCTCTAAAATAAAACGGCCAAAATTTTTTTATTTCTTCTCCTTGTGAATTGTAAACGTTGTTTGATTATCACAGTGTACTATAGAGTTAAAGAGAAAGAAAAAAGTACTTTTTAAACATATCAAATAGAACATTCGTTAAACTGCTGCTTTTTACTGTGTGATGTTTAAATTTCTCTAAGATTAATAACGTATAAAGTGAAATTTTTGTGGTGGCATTAAGATTCATTCATAATACAGTTAATACTATATTTATTATTCGTAAAGAAAACTGACTTAATTTTTGCGTTAACTTACACTGAATAAATTTAGATGAGTCACATTCCTGAAGGCCATCAAGGCACATCTATCCATCACATTTCAGTCGTTAAGGGAAGCACACAGGGTAAGTTTTTTCTTTCTCTTTCTCATTGTATTTGTGATAATTATGTATAAGTCTTTGTCTATAGGAGCATACCGTTGTGAAATCCTTAATCGTGAATTTATGTTTAGTGATCAATTGGAAACAGTTATAAGTGGTCTTTACGGACATGATATTGCAGAGGTATTGAGTTTTCTAAATTCGCTGCTGTTTATCGTATGTTGATGATTTGCTATAGCATACACATTATTATGTTGATCGTAAACGTGTTAATCGTCATTCATTATTAGATGAACATCAAGGAAAAGATGTACATGTTTATTATGCCGATCATATTCATGACCCGAATAGGTATATTATTTGTACAACCGTATGTCTGCACATTGTTATTCTCCTTTTTATTTTAGAATTGGTTCATTTTCTGTTCCTGTACTTGAACATCATCAGACACTAAGACATCATGTGACTGGTGTTATAAAATGAAATCATATTATCAATACTTAACAAACTAGCCTATGTATTGACTTTTTTTAACGTTTTTCTGTGTTTTATTAGTAAACAAAACTTCAACTTCAACTGTACTCACCTCTGAATTTTAAGACTAACGACGACGTAGGAAAACTGTTGAAATTTTACCTCTTTTTGAAAACATAATAACATTAGCAACATAATAATTTCAAATCTCAATTCACCGTAGAACACATGAATATTTACAATTATTAATAAGTAACGCCAGCTGGACTAAGAAAACTGTTGGTTAGTAAAGACGGTGATGGTTAGTGCACTACGTGTTTTGCATGTGTTGCTTGCTGAATCGAAGAAGCAAATGTGGAATAAAATAAGACAGAGATATGGATCTTCTGATTTGACAACCCTTTTACTTTACAAAACCTGAAAAGGCTATTCAACTTTCAACAGAAGGTCAACTGAGAGGGAGGATAAATAATTAATTACAGCTATTTGGTGCCAAATTCGCGCTAAGCCTGTTTCTCTTGAATTGGCAGAAAAGTTATAATTAGATTAGTGCAAGTAACAGCACTTCTTTTTGCATTATTTCTGAGAAAAAAATAATTCTTTTATAATTTCAGCTGTGTTAGTCATCTTCTTGAATCAACTATTGGTTGAGTGCAGCGCGAATAGAATAAATATACATAGAAACGAGCGCCATCTTTATTAATTTTTGACAGAAGCATCGAATAAACCTGAAAATTATATGAATAGTGTAAATCGATATGGAGATCACGAATATCACACTTTTAAGCCTTAATTTCTTCCTTACCATGGACCTCTTCCAGCCATATGTATCTCCTTTTTCGTGCTTCTTCTGAATAAAAGAAGAACATTTTCGTTGATCATTGCGCAATACTTGAATGATCAGATTGACTTAGGGGTGGCACTTTCCCGTTCAGTTTCTGAGTAACGATAAAGTGGTATCTTTTATTCCAAAAGTAAAGAGTAACGATATAATCCATATCTTTTCTTTCCTAAGAAAAAGTAAAACAGCACCTTTTCTTTTCCAAAAGAAGGAAAAGCGATATCTTTTCTTTTTTCAAAGAAAAAGACTTTCTTAAAAGGTGCAAAAAAAGTCTTTTTCTTGCAAAAAGAAAAGATATCGCTTTTCTTTCTTTTGGAAAAGAAAAGCTGCTGCTTTACTTTTTTTAAGGAAAGAAAAAACATATGGATTATATCTTACTCTTTTTGTTGTAAAGAAAAAGAAAAACTTTTCTTTTGTTAATAAAAAAAAGAGGTAGGAAAGAGAAAGTGCCAGCCCTAGATTGACCTATTCAGGTATAACACAGTCAAGGAAAGCAAGAATTTTCTTTCGGACAATAAAAAAAAGCAGTCTGACAATTTCTTGTGTGCTTCCATCCAGTGTTTTTCATATATGGCAAAAGTTCTCCTATCAGTTCTTACTTTTAAAAACTTGGAAAACGTGCTATATTGCACATACATATAAAAGCTGTACTAGGGTCTACTTCCGAATACCAAAAGCATGACTTTCATCGTTGGGTTCAGTTTTATATTAACGCATGGTCGGAAGATCGACCTTGCGCCTGTCTAAACATGCAATAATTCAAGTTCTAGTTAGTTAAGGCAAAACGATGTTTTGTCAGATAGAATAAAAATACTGAACTTGACTTTGTAAAGAACCAAAATTTCTCTTGTCTTTCGATAATAAAAGTGCAATTGAACCCACGCTCATAATTTATCTAATTTAGAGTCCGATATTGGAACTCTTTTCGTCTTCGATTAATAATGAATTGGAAACTTCTCTATGTAGTGTAATTTCAAAGATAGATATAGATAGACATTTTTGGAAGCCAGTCTATCTTGTGCACAATCAATTTTTGGTGCTCTTTCAAATGAGATATTGGTCGGAAAGAATGGACAAAATGTCTCAAAGCAATAATCAAAATACATAAACGAGGTTCTTTTGACATTTTTCTAGGACTTTCTTTAATGCTTTCAATCTGTCATTTTCAGTTCTCAATGTCTACAACGAATTTCGTCACCTTAGCTTTGAACTGGGAATCGAAAGATTATTTTCAGCATCAGAAATTTTTTGGGACGGTGTGGCTTCTACAGTAGGGTTTATGTACTATCTCTTAATTCCTTCAGAATGTTCCATCTAGAACTTCATTGACAGAATATGTTTCTTCCGTTTTCAAAATGTTAACCCTTTGCTGCTCTACATATGAGCAAATCTTCTGTGTACTACCATGCACCTTTGACAGAGCACCCCAATATCTAATTGAGATTTAATGAGGCCTTAGTGCATCATTTCGGGCATATATATCTGTGCGTCCACCATTTGGTTTTTCCTGAAGTCAGTTATGTATAATTGTGATTGTGCTTTCGTTATTTGTGTCGATACGTAACCGGGAGCAAATACGCTTGTATGTTTATGAGCCTTTAGAAGTAGTGAAAATCGTTAATTCTGAAGAGCTCTCCGTTAAAGTTTGCTCGTTTCTGATTTTACCTGACACTTTGAACAAATGTAGAAGACAATATTAGACACTTGATGAATTATCCCGACGTTTAGAAGAGCGTGCTTTCAATCTCAGTCGTTCGGCCACCTATCTGCCATGAGTTTGGACTATATATAGATGATAAAGTTGACTTTTTCTATCGTTCGTAGATTACTACTACGACGATCTATGTTTACTGAGGGGAAACGTCATGTTCAAACTGTTCGACTACGATTGATCAAGGCCAACAATGATGAACACAAAAAACATGTTGATCAATATTTTTCAACAAATACACTTAATCATTTGAAAACGCAGGCAGGATCGTTTGGCAGTAATGCAGTTTTCTTCTTAAGTCAAAACGTAGCCGTTAATATGCTCGTCGAATTCCAACGCGTGGATTGCCATACATATTAACACTTGGTATTTAACTTTCAGGCGTTAATATGCATGAAAATAGGATATCATGGTTAACATTCATGGAAGTCCACGCGATGGAATTCGACGAGTATATCCAAGAACGGGCTCTTTTCGATTAGCAACGCATTCAATGACAGCTTACTTGTGTTGAGAAGGAACGCATTCTGCTTTCTGTAGAACGCGATCGAGCGCGTTCTTTTTTTCTTAGAACCCGCTCTTAGTCAATAAAACGCGTTCAACGTATTCTTAACTATTCTTTTTTAAACTTGTTTTTCGTGGATAGGATCAAGATAAATCGTCACTTACCTTTTCAGCATAGAAATTTCAAAATGAAAGATTCGAGATAAAATCAGAAGAAACACGATTCAGAGAAAAACGAAGGAACTTAGTATATTTGGGCATCTTCCAAACATAAACAAACTCTGATAAATGATCAGAGCGAGCAAATTAGTATGAACGATCAGCACTGTCTCGATTTTTTATCAGAAAAACACATCAGCTGTGCTCGATGTATCAGTTTATACCTCTCTCCAATAAGAGTTTCAGTGTAACCTGCATGGTCTGTAGTGTATGATTCATGCCGTCAAGTTTCTCCTCGACTCTATCGATGTTAACTTTTGTTGTAGCCAGCTGTTGTACCGTCTCATCTGTTGAGTTGTTTGTTTGACGTTGTATTGCGAGCAATTCATCTAGTCCCACACAATAGTCAACGAATTTCCGTTGTTCTCTTTTAATTTGTTTCATAGTAGTTATTGCTGTGAAAAATCTTCGTTGTGTTTGAAGGTAGTGAATGGACTTATGTTTGTCTTTTCTCTTCAACTGCCAAAGTCTCCATGCAAGTTTGATGATGTTGGCTGACTCGTGCTTGCGTGCTTTGGTCAGTTCGATGATCAAGGCGAAATTATGTACATACTTCTCCCATCGCGATAGCATAAGTTTGCTTGTGACCACCGCAATAAGAAGAGCAGATGCCAAAAGACCAATTAAAACCACTATAACAGCGATACCTAGATATCATGATACAGTTAGTATACTGAATTTATTAAGTAAGGCGTTGGTAAAGTTTCACCAAATTTTTAATCGACTTTCCTGGTTTCACTGAACTAATTTTATTGTAATGAAAGTTAATTCAAATCGAGAAAAAACCAAGATGATGAGTCGGTAAACCTGTTCTCATCTTTGATAATAACTAATAATTCGTACGAAACTAGTAAGGCGCCGGTAATTCAAAGTTTCACCACATTCTATTTTTAGCTTAAACATACATTTCCAGATTCAGAATAAGCTGCTGATCACGCATATCACCTGACTTTTTCAATCTGATAAACTTTTCATGGAGAAAAACGCAACATACTGAGAAGCTCTCAAAATCGTCAAACATCTTAGCTTTGAGAGAACTGCATTGTTCTCCTCACCATTTCACTTTTCAATCTCATCAGTGTCATTTTCAGGTTTCTCATGTAAAAATGGATCTATACATGTGGTCATGACCCTGATCGCATATAATATATCCGTTCTAGAGATCCATAAGAATTGCTCCGTTGGCGATACCGAATTTTGCAAATCTATCTAGTTTCTCCGGTCAAGACACAGCGTCTTCATTGTTACGCCATTCACATCGCCATTGCGCGCGCAACAAACTGTTGTTTCGTTTTTTTAATATTACTTTTCCTGCTGAGAAAATTCATTTTTTCTAAATCAGAGGCGGAAAAGCTGGAATTCAGCCCGAAATTCTCAATTTTCTCCATCAGAACTCAACTTTCAAGCAATAAAAATATCATATCCGGAATCAAACCTTTCTTAATAAGGCATAATTCTGGCCCGCACATTTCTGATTAAAATGAAACATCTCCCACCTTTTCACGACCTTTCTTTGAAACGCTAGAGAATTTACAAGAAAAGACCTAAATTAATTTTTTCTTATTTGGCGATTTGAATGTTGTAAGAATGAAGACGCTATGTTTTGACCGGAAAAACTAGACAGATTTGCAAAATTCGGTATCGCCAACGGAGCAATTCTTATGGATCTCTAGAACGGATATATTATATGCGATCAGGGTCTTGACCACATGTATAGATCCATTTTTACATGAG